CCTGCCCACATTCAGCTCCCTGCCCTGCAGAAGGGTCACGCTGTCACCCGGCACGAAAAGCCTCACGCCTTTGGGGCTGCCCCAGCTGCTGCTCCTGGGGACTCCTTCTCCCACCTGATGGCAGTGTTCTCCTTGCTTTTAGCTCCTGGCCCAGCTTAGCTCCAGTGACACACAGCTGCCTGGGCTGTGCTTGGCAGCAGCTCCAAAAATACTGCTCCAAAGCAGCAGTGAGACACGGCAAGGCTGGAAGCAGGGAAGGGAAAGCTGAAAAAATAAAAGTCCGGAAATATTTAGGGCAGAAAAGGTAGCAAAAGGATTCTGAGTTAGAGAGGGCTTCCTCTCAACACGGGCATAAACATATAATTGTATATCCATATAATTGTATACCAATTATATGATTGGTCCGTGTATAATTTCTGAGATAAAGACATAGCTATGCATAAGCTCACATGAAAAAAGAGATTGACTATGGATGTATAAATTTCCCTGCTGTCTGTGGCCATCACAGTTTATCAAAATGCAGGAGATAAATTGACACAGGCAAAGATGGGTCTGTTAAAAGCAGAAATGTTGCTACACCAATTTGTTCATTTCATACACATTCTCCTTCCAAGATATCTGGATTTTTACAGGTGAAACCCGTGCCTTAGATCCCCAGAAGAGTGAAAACTGGCTTTATGTCTTTAAGGAGCCCATGTTACAACCACAAACATCTTGCTGACTTTTTAAGGAGTCAGATTTCTGACTGCTTAGGTTCATCACAGCTCTGGCTAGTGATGGTAGCAAATGAGAAGGATTTTCTTACACAAAATGCAGAGATTTGATCACTGCACATGTTAGGGACGTAGCCTCAGGGGACTGTTTCCAGCTGTAACTTCAGAGCTTCACCACAGGGCCACAATTAAAAACTCAGGGCGGCCTGAAGACATTGCAATGTTTTAGAAACAAAATTCTGGACCTTGGAAAATTGGATATTGATTGTAAGGGAGAACAGGTCTCACCAGCAAAGTGTCTCTGCCTGGCAGGTTGATTTAAAAACATGGGCAGACTTGATTGAGTTCTCCAGATCAAAGTCTGGAAGTAATTCTTTACTTGTAAATTTGAAATGGTTCCCGTACTTTAAGCATTACTCTCAAGTTCTTGAGTAGAAAACTAGAGACAACACAGCCCAAGGGAACACTGCCCTTCTTAAGATGTTTTCAGCATTCAGTGTCAGTCCAGTGTTGAAGTGAAAGCCAGACTCTGTTCATGGTTTAACTGAAATCAGAGGGGATGAAACTTATGCTTGATATTTTACCAATTAAATCAATTTCAATTTGGGATGAATTTGCTCCATCATGTCCAGTTAAAGGAGAAAAAAAAATTGTAAAGCAAAAAAAAAATCTATAGCAACAGTTATTTACCAGATAATTCAGTGCTATCCCATTCCTTGCAGTGTAAGGATATTCTCTCAAGGTTAGCCAGACCCAGTGTATGGATATGCAAGAAATAATGATGCAGAAGCTGTCCATTTTTCTAATATGCACATTAAAATTTGGCTGATGGGATAGATGCTAATGGAAATATTCTTGGCCCCAGCTTTTGCTTGATAGATTAATGTGATATTCATATACAAGGCAAATGGATAGAAATGTTCAAATTTATTGGAAAATGCAACTTCTACCCCAGTGTAAGGACAAATGGAGGATATGCTTTGCAGTATGTATAACATTTGAATTTAATAAGGAAAAGTTTGTTTGTGTCCCAACCCTTATTGTATGCTATACTGAGTTCAGGGTAGAATTTCTGCTCAAAAAGATCTTAAGACAAGTTCTTCAGTCCTTGTTTTTCAGAGAAATGTTGCAGTTTTCAAGTTCACGGAAGATTTCATGTGTTCTTTCTGTTAGCTATCATTTCACGTTTACCAGTATTGCCCAAACTCTATTCATAAAAATAAAACTTGAAAAAATGAAACACAAATTTAGAGTATATTTATGTTACATATCACTGAATTTGGATTCACTGTTTCAGAGTCTATAGTAGAATAAAAGGCTTTAGACATTTCAGCATAAACAAAGCTAGCCTCAAAGGAAGAAGTCCATTATGCCTGAAGAGATTATATGGTGTTTGCAGATAGGATGCAGAATTAGTTTGTATTAGTTTGTATACAACCCAAAATACACAAACAAATGCCAAAGAAAGAGAGAACCCAAGGCCCACAGCACTGTGGGACATAACAGTATTCCCTGTGGACTCCAGAATTATCTGAATTAAATAAATTTCATTAACTGGTAGAGTGAGGATCTCTTTTGTGGCCTTTAGTTCTTCTGTAAATCCAGGAGGAACACTAAATCAACACATTCTATGACTTGGGAGCAGCTTTAAGGAAAAAGTTTGATTCTCAAGTTTTGGTTTTTTGTTTTGTTGTTTTGTTTTGTTTTGTTTTTATTTTTTGTTTGTTTGTTTGGTTGGTTGGTTGGTTGGGGTTTTTTGTTTGTTTTTTTCTTTTTGGCAAGGCAATGTTCTTGTTTCAACCTGAAGATGTTCTTGCTGGAATTTTTAGCATACCACATGCCAGCAAACCTCTCATATTGTTTCAGAAGGCCCAGAGCTACAGAAAGTCTCTGCCCTCACCTCTGCTCAGTGTGAGTTAAATTCTGCACACCAGAGAAGTATTTCCTTTCTGTGTTGGAAAAAGGCCAGATGAAAATTTATAAACAGAATCTACCTCAACAGTGAGACTGGAAAGAATAGCACATCTTCCTGGAGCTGGGGTTTGCAGGCCCTCAGGTCTTCTCACTGCTTATCATATCTAATCCCAAATCACAGTTCTATGTGCCTTGTAATCTCTTTAGAATGTGAGACAAAATTTGTGCTTCATATCCAAGAAATAGCTTTTCAATGCCAAATCAATGATTTATTATTATTCATTTGTAAAAAAAAAAAAAAAAAAAGCCCCATGTAGATAAGAGAGGACAGCAAAAAGAAAAGGTTGTGTAGCTTTTTATGTATTTTTTTACACTGATGATCTGTATTTTGATTTCTAAAGCAATGCTTGAAATTGCCTAGTTTCCATAAAGCCCATCTTCATGACTTACCTTCTTCCCTGTGATACAGCTGGCAGTTCCACAGTGATGAGCAGCTGTCGAAGAGCCTCCCCCACTTGCAGGCCAAGTATACCAGCTTTTATGACGTTAAAGATGCAATTTTGCTCAGCTCTGCCAGGACTGTGCATAAAGACTCTTGTCTGAGATACTGACAACACTGACACACATCATCCAGTGATGAGTTTGGTGTCTTGAAAGGATGGAACACTGTTGTGTTCGATTGGTGACTCGGCAATCTCTCCTGGCATGATCATGAATCACCTGGATGGTTTTCTTTGTGCCTCTCATGGCCATGGCTTGAGTCTAGCAGCAGAAATGCTCTATATTGTGTCTCTCTCCTACCTCTCTGCTTTGGAAATACAAAAAAAAATATGGGTTTTTTTATGGTTTCTTGAAAAATATTTTGTCTTCTGAGACCAAGCATTAAAACTTTGCTGTATGAAAGGATAGATCACCAGGTACCCAGCTGTCACCTGTGGCTGTTAAAGCTCTTACATAAAGCAGATTTCAGGAGTACCTTAAAAAAAAAGGCCTGCCTGGAGTCATTTGACAAATTAGAAAGTGTGAGGCATATAAATGTTTATGAGATGTGTCTGTGCTTACAGCCAAGCTGTACAAATTGTCTTTATGATAGCATTGACTGCAGAGCAAAGGGGACAGCTGCCTATTCTCTAAAGTCAGCCCTCAATCAGCAGCAGCCCTCTCTTTTGGGTGATTCAGCGTGTCCATGTGGCAACCCTTAGTGGCAGGGAGAGGTACTTACAACTTCCTAACCTCTAAATGAAGTACCGAAGTTTGGAGTATGGTCTCTGTGGGTTATTTATGCTTTGCAGAGAGAGAAATGTCCTCCAGGAAAAAATTTAATGCACCAAGTTAAGTCCTGCTAAGTAAAATGTGAATTCTTGCTGACACAAGAGTGCAACAGCAAAACAATGACCATGCTCCCTGCAGCACCCACAGTTTGGCTTCTTATTTCTACAGTGATGCAACTGAAAGTGCATTTGGCTCTTGAATGAAGGAAATATAATAGTTCTGTTAAAAAATGGTCATTGTTACTCGTCTTTATTTGCCAAGAGGTAAATTGGGTTCATATAAACGAGAGGTGTCATCCCTAATGCAACTGGGGCTGACCCTATGACAGATGACATGAAATGAAATGAAATGAAATGACATGACATGACATGACATGACATGCCAGGGCTGCCTCAGCTGGCTGCTTAGCTGCAGACCCTGCAGGCTGACATGCCCTGTCCCTGCTCCCAGGCTCAGTTTCAGACAGCATTGTACAGTGGCACCTGATCTGGATCTTGGTTATACCTGTGCAAATCAACTGCCCCTCTAGCAATGTCAATAGCTGCAAATTGGTGCATAAATAAAAATGATCTCAGGTCCCAAAAAGCTAAATCTCTGCTTTTTAGATAAAATTACAGATTTTTTTCTCTAGGATCAAACTCTCTGCAGGGACACACATAGCCATATTTTTGGCTTGCTGTGTCTGAGGGGACAGTGTCCTCTGACCATACTTTTAAAATGTACAACCTGTAGTCTGAGAAGCTATTTGTTTCTCAAGATTTGGTGTGAATAATCAAGAAATTTGATCTTTAGGTTATGTAAAATCAGCACTGATAATTTTAAAGAGTAAAAACCACAATGACGTTCAGATATTGCGGTAAACGAATTTGAAATGCAGGAAAGAGAGATGATTTTGAACTGTTCTTTCCTCAGTATATACTTAATTTGCTGAAGATACTCTGCTTTGGTAATGGATCATAGCTGAGCATAGTTGAAATTCTTCTAACATCTGATCCAGAGTGTTTGACCACACCAGAAGGAGAACCTTTCACAGTCACAAATGCTCATAAATATTTATTAACTGTGGTTAATATTTATTAACTATGTTTTAATCTTTGGCAGAGATAAGGATTGTCTGAAAATATGGGAATCATTAAAAGATGCGTTCATTTACAAGAATCCCTGTAATATCACACCAGAGGATTACCAGCCTTTAATGGAGCTAGCAAGCCATCCCATACCCTGCAACAAGGTAAGAGCACAGGGCAGGGTGGGCTGGCTGGGATGCCAGGTCTGGGCAGTGGGATCTCACCCATAGCAGCTCTGGGGGTCTGAAGGTCAATGAGGATGGCATTTACTTTTGCACTTGCTGCAGCAGTCCTGCAGCCACACCTTTGGACCCCAGTAGCCCTGCCCATCTATCGCTGGGAATCATCCCTGTGTAAGGCTTGTCTCGAGCCAGGATCACCCCAGTGAAGTGACAGGGATGTCCCCATTCCCTGAGCATGTGGCTGTCTGTAAGGAGCATGCCATCATGCTGTTAGAGGGACAGTGCTTCCTGAAAGCTGTTCTTCCATGTGCAGCTCAAAAGCAAACAACAAACTTGGTAAATATCCTGTGAAAACTAGCCAAACCTTTCTTTCAAAATCCCTTAAAACCTAACCATGTCCCTTTCCATCAAAAAAACCCCACCCAAAATATTCTGTGAACGACAGTGTTCAAATAAGGACTGACCCACTAGGGTGAACTCGCTGCATTTCAATAAAACTAGAACTCCTTCATTATCATTAACTTTCTGCTTTTCTCCAGAAAAATTTGCTGGCCAGCTGTAGTATAGCTATCACTTACCAGACATTGTACCTCATTTCACAGTCATTGTTCTGGAGCAAGACAGGTGACCTCGTTCATCGTTATACAAAATCCAATCAAAATTTCCTTACCTTGGAGGACACCTTGTTGGGTTATATGGCTGATAGAATTTCATGGTGTGGAGACCCCTCTGCCCCAGGTAATCTACATCTAAACACAGTCCTTTTCACATCATTTTCTAGTGATTTAGTTTAAAATCTTATCTGTCCAATATTTTGGAAATCTGAAAATAACACCTATTTCTCAGGTTAAATTAAAACCCACAGCTTTGGATGTTATTTTAATACCAAATTGTTGCTTGAACTAATGGCCATATCTAGCCCCCTGTGCTTTGTTTGTTTGCTTCTAACCTGTGGTTCCTATGGGACAAACTGCAAAGCAGGAATGCCATTCAAGAAGGACCTGGCCATGGGCCAGTCAAAGTGCTGGGGCAGCGTGCAGGAGCCTTGGGGGTTTCACTGCCCACGTGGCTCCTGGGTTAGTGCTTTAGGCTAGGAACCTTTAGACTGGGCTGGAATTACTGAAAATGTTGGGCAAAGTTTGATTTTTCAATGCAATCAGACAGTACTTGTCAAGAGCCAACCTGTTTCTCACATTTGGGATTGTGTGTTTTCCCTTCTCTGTTTTCTGAGAGTTCTTTGTGCAACTGCCTCCCTGAAAATACTGTGAGCAAACAGGAAGACCTTTGAGCAGATGCAAATTCCTTTTCCTTTTAGAGCCCTCTCCCCATTTAGCTTTCTTGCTTTGGTACAGGGCAAGTCTTTTTGCTCACAAAGCCACATGAGCCTTGCAAAAATATTCACTCTAACCTTAGCTCTTCTGTAAATGTATTTTTTTCTCAGGAATCAACTATGAATCTTGTCCAAAACGGAATGAATGTGAGAGCAATCCTGGCTCTGTGTTCTGGAAAATGGCATCCAAGATGGTAAGATCTGGACTAAATCTCCCCAAATGCAAAAGTGAGGAAAGGCTCTAAGTTCCTGACGTTGCCAAAAAAATATGATTTTGCAGATTGGACTTAAAAGATGGAATAATAGAAGTTGACAAAAGCTTTAGGTCCAGGTGTTAAAAATCGTGGTGTTGGAATTCAAGGTCCCATATTTTATGTACAACATTTGATGTCCTTGTAGTTCAGGCATTCTTTTTGTGGACAGAGGCTGAGTGTCAGTGTCTAGAACAACCCTTGGCAGAGACCTGGAGCTCTGTGAGCAATACTCACAATTATAACAATCACCTTAATTAAATCACAGAACATAAATTGCTATGGTAAAATCTATTTTAGCATGCTAATGTGGAAAGCAGCACCCAAATTGGCACAGACATTTTCCAAGAGGCTGAGAATCCCCTTGCACTTCCCAGCACAAACCTGAAGAGCACATCCTCCCACATCAGTACCTGGCAATGCTCCTGTGATGTCCCCACCCGCAGACACATGCCAACTCCCATCACAGGAATGAGATCCTGCTAGTCCCAGTTAAGCAATTAGCCTGGCTTTGTTGAATCAGCACTTTACAGGAACAAACTGCCAGAGAAAAACCTGATGTCCTGTATGCTTTAATTTTACCTGTCTCTCAAGATTTCACACTTGGTATGACTATTAGGAGATGACTATCCAGGTGGAAAACAAGCATTCCTGTATGCTCCAGTTCTCTTGTATGTAAGAAAAAGTCTACTCACCATTAAAAAAAAAAAAAAGTTTTGTGGGTAAACTAGGAGCTAGGAGTGAAAATGGTTCAGTTCCAGAGTCTGTGAGAGAGAGAACCACATAGAGACTCAGGTTTGCTCAGCTGCAGGCTTCCTTGCCATATAAATTGAAGATCTACTAAAACTCATGCTTAATACATTTGAAAGTAATGCATAATGAAACTTCCTGAAACCTTGCAGCTCTCAAGATCTTAGTCTGAGCCACATTGTTTATGAGGACATGAAAGATTTGATAAGTACAGTCACCTGCATTAAGCTTTTAAAAATTCTTTGCCTTTGGCTTATATATCTAGAGTAGGTACTTTATATGGTTGGACATGAGTTTTAATAAATAAAAAAGCAGTCATTACATGATCCAGTATATTAAAAATCAAATCAAAAATCTTTCAGTGATAATTTTACTAAAATATCAAGAGAGAAAAATCCCAAGCCACAAAAGAACACAGAGTATGAATCACAAGGAAACAAGTATGTCGTGGTTTGTGTGTCCTTAAACTAGTGATACCTCTGTTCTGGCTTGTCCTTACTTTCTGAACTAAAGCAGTCTGAGGATTACTCTGAGTTACTACAGACAGCTGCAGCTGTAAGGACTCTGGAAAGCCCTATAAAAACTGAAACCAGACAAGCTGCTGTACCAGTCCCATGCAACCTTAGACTGCCAATTCATAGCTTTCTAATGAGGCTTTATCACAGTTTTGCCATAGCCTTCAGAAGCTTTATTTTTTGCACTGAAATGTTCTGCAAAATATTGCCCAGATCCTCTACTTGTATTAGACAGTTCTGATGATATCAATGAATTCTACCAGCCCCAAATCTGCCATGGCACTGCAGATAGTGTCAGAGTGTAATGTCCATTGGTTTGGTTCAGTTTGCAGAAGCAGCCTGTGGTGTGGTTCAAGTGATGCTCAATGGATCAGTAGAAGCTGGAGCTTTCAGAAGCAGCAGGTATTCACTCAACACAAAACCATTCATGTCTCTGTGGGGCTGCATGTGATTGTCTGCCTGTGAGTCCCAGTGCAGAAGGGATTTTGGTACAACTTGGATGTTGTAGAGCTGATTCTTTTCACTCCTTCTATTCAGAACCTGTAACTGAAATCCTTCAGAGGGTGTGCGGGTGGGGTATGCAGTGTGCTCTTACTGCTCAAATGATTATTACAGTTTCTTTGATTTTACTTCACTAGACTTGGCTACCTGGCTGGAAGTGCAGTCTTGAATAATATCAAAAGAAGAAGAATATGCTTTCTGGGGGAACAGCCATGGTCATTTCCCTGGCACCAAACCAAACCAATAGCCAGGAAACTGAACTGGAGAAGAGACACTAAAGATGGCAAAACTTCAGCTTGTTTCTGTCTGCAGGCAGTATCAAAAGTTCTCCTGAAAGTGAAATAAGAATGGGGAGACAATATTTGACCATAAGGCAATTAAATAGTCTGTGAAAATCTGTTGGCAAGATAATGTTCTCTCACAGAGTGTAATAGCAGCACTAATAAGCACTGGTACTTGGGAGGGGGGCATACTCTCTACATCTTTCTGAGATAACTAAGAGTGTTTTGCTGTTTCATGTTCCATTCTTACAGCATTTTTGGAAGTATTGAGATCTTTAACCTGGATCCAGATAAAGTCACTGAAGTGCACATTTGGCTTATGCAAAACATTGGTGGACCTCAAAGGTAAGTCACACTGGTGCACAGTGATGAGCAGCGCGTGGAAGGCACAGGGCACAGCTCAGGTCTGGCAGCAACACTGTCTAAAACTCACTAAATCTGCTTTACACTCACCTTCTAGGCACTTTGTGCAAAAAAAAAAAAAACATAACATTTGTACTGTAGTTTCCCCTAGTATTTTTTGTAGGTACTGGTGAACGGTTATAGGTAAAACACAATGACATTTTCCTTGCTTTCAAGAGGTCCTGTGACCTTTAAGTTCCTTTCAGCTGCACTGAGGTCTACAGACCTTTGCTATGGGTGCAGCAATGAAGTCAGAGACCAGGCTATGTCTGCAAGGATAAACATGTCCATGTATCCATCCAAACATGGATATGTTTGTCCACAGGAGTAGTATAATTATGCTGAGCCATTTTTGAATGACAGAACAGGTTGTGGAATGTTCATCTCTGAACATACTCAAAACCTAACTGGGACCTCGGCAACCTTTTCCAGGTCATATTGGTTTGATCTCAAGCAGTCTCTTCTTACCTAAATAATTCTGTGATTTTTAATAACAAATCTGTAGTTGAAATGTTTACCATGGAATTACTGATACCAGAACAGCAACCTCAAATCACATCTGAGCCTTTCTGAGTGATGTTTTTTCATCCCAATCAGATTCATTTGCAGATCTACCACATCTGAAACACTAAGCATGAGGCTCTGTGCCTTTGACCCCTCCTTTCAGAGCTAGTTCTGTGGCTCACATGGTCATAATGCCCTGCCACAGTTTTTCCTATTCTTAATGATCTCCACGACAGAAACAGCAGCTGTGGTGCCATGGATCAGGGAGAAGGCTGTGATGATGCAGTGCAGCTCAGGAAGGAGTGTGGCCCTTGCTCAGACAGCATCTCTCTCTGACACCGTTCCAGTGTTGCAGCCCCTCCCTCAGCCCAGACACCCAGAAGTGTCTGTCCCCTTTCCACATGAGCTGACACACCTGCCATGGTTCACATGGTGCATCTGTGCTGGGGTCAGCATACCAGACTTAGTCTTGTGGTCCTTTGCATAAGCGTTTGCTGGAGAAAAGGACATTGAGTGATCTTTACATCATTTTCCCCACACATGGCACCGAATACTTTGTCCCATCATTTCCCAACATCAGAAATTTTTGCTACGCTCCCCCTCAGCAGCTGCAACAAGGCAGTGCCCTGCCAGCCCTCTTGCTGGATGCATCCTCCTCCTGTGACAAGTTCATAGCAATTTCCTTCTTATTTTCTACTTGCTTCTAAGGAGAGAGTGGGGGGGTAGCCCCAATAGTATGTATTCCTTATAACTTCTGATTTGTATTCCACGTTGAATCACTGATAACTTGTCAAGTCTAATGAAGAAAAAAGAGCTGGCAGTGCTCTCCACTAATGTCATATGTTAGGAACTGGATTTGTCCCCAGTAGTAGAAGGGAGTCCTGTACTCTGGATGAGGAGATGATTTTTACCTTGAGGTAACAAGACTTGTGCTGTGTCTCTGTCTGTGCCTATGACATTTGTCAAACCTCTCACTACAGCTTTGGGGCCCTTGGGCTATTTAATTAAATTAAACATAGAGATACAGGTCTTGAAGGTATGAGAGTGCTACATGCTTCTTGAAACTTTTATCTGGATGGGAAAGAAATACACACGTTAGGGCTCCTACCAGTGCAAAAGTGGTTGAAACATCCCCTTGCCAAAACAGAGCAGCAGCAGCAGCAGCTGTAAACTGAGTCAGACACACAGGAGGTGCTCACAGACTGCTTCCTCCCCTGCTTTCTACCAGTTTCCTCCTATCTTACTTCCTACCAGGGACTTCACTGCTGCCTTTCATGGCTGACCTGACCTTTTCTCATCACTCAGAGGACTTGACCCTTTTGCCCTTTGACAGATTTCAGTAAGCCTTGTATTGTGCTGCTGTAGGTGGAGCGGTTCCAGAGCGTCCTGAACTGGGAATGGGACTGAGCCATGTCCCACAGATGTCCTGCTGCACAAAGCTCTCATGCAAGATGCACAGCTGGACATCACATAGCTTCTACCAGCAAGGGCCCAAGGGCAGCCAAAGCTCCACAAACCCAGTGGGCTTCTCAGCACATTGGCAAACAAGCTTCTAAAGAATCTTACCTGTAATAAAGCAGCGACATAGTGTGGAATTTAGGTGAGCATTTTGTACTCACAAGGAACACAAGTAACTGAAGTCTTCTCTCCACAGTGAATCCTGCTCAGGTCAGTCCATTCAGAGGTTAATAAGCATTTTAGAAGAACGAAACTTTAAGATCATCTGTGAAGACAATTACAGGTAATTATCCACTCTTATTGGTGATGACTTTGCTAACATGAAACTAATATTGCAGGTTTACAGCAAGCTAGAGTGGACTTCCTCCTTACTGCCATGACATCCCTCCAGTCCCTCCAGTGGGGCTGGGTCCTTCTCAGGGGCTTGCAGCCAGGCTGCAGCCCTGGGGCTGGCTGGGTCTGGGGCTTGCTCTCTGCCCTACACTTCCCATTGAGCATGTCAGCTGTTTTCAGGAAGGGAGCAATCCAGCCACCAGATTTTCTTCAGACTGGGTTTTTACCTAAAATACTCTGAACCACACAGGCAACTTTCCTCCCTGCTGCATACCGATAACACAAGGTGCCAAGGGTGGGCCTTACTTCCTTCACCACGATTTGAGCATGCTTTCTGTCCTGCTGCTTTGTCAGAGAGTGAGGCATGAGACATGATAAGCGTTACTAATTACTGTAATTTACCATTGTCAGGAGCAAAAAACAGGAGTCTGTGAAACAGCAGCCCAAGTCCTGACTTGCCTGAAATCTCCATCTTCCTGCTGAGGAAACACAAAAGCCAGAGACCCTTTATCCCTATGTGTGGATTCAGAGACCTTCACACAGAGCAAAATTTTTCTTTAGAGACATGAGAAAAGTGGCAAATGTTCAATATTGCTCATATCTTATCTGTCAGGAACAGCTTTTCAGTGTCAAGGACTCATACTTTGATAACATTTCCAAAGTAAACAAAGATTTCTATGAACTTCTGAGTTTGTGACAATAGCTTAAGTAAGGAAAAATTGGTCTGCAAAGGAGAAAAATGATAGGTCTAAGTCTGAAGGCAGAGCAATGTATTCCTGTCTGGGTATTGCTGAACCTGATTAATGGGTGCTCTGCACTTTGTGAAAAAATTAGCGCTGGTGTGCAGCATAAATCTGCCAAATCATGTGCTTACTTTCTCTTTGGGTAAAAGGAACCTTTAAAAAATACTCCCAGGACCTGTAAGTAGGTACAGATTATTTCAGCCTATGATGAATTAAGCTATGGGAAGAGGCAGAAAGGGGAAATATACAACAGCTTAGACCCCTTGTGGCTCAGCACAGGGAGGAACCTGACACTCATTGCTGTGTCTCACAACTCACAGCTGAAGGTAAAGTGACAAGTAGGGCTTTTTGTCAAAGCTCAGCTAACACATATAAACAACTGGGTTGAGCAACACAAACAATCAATTTTGCTATTTCATATGCATAATAATAATAAAATAACAAATTTACAGGTAAAGCCAAACTTCAGGATAGACTATGTAGGTTGACTTCACTCCCCTGTAGTCATTGCAAGCAGAACCATGTGGGTCTGTATCAGCTGAGCATCTGCCTTTGCATGCCATGTAGCAACTGCTGCTGGTCATTTTCTCTTGCTTCTCTCCCTGTCAACAGTACCTTCCAGAAGTAACTCTAAAACTGAATTCACTGGATGCATTAGAAAAAATCTCATCATATCTGACATTCACAGCAACAGCTTTCTGTTGTAGCAGTAGGGTTTACCAGTGAGTAAGACAGATGGTGAGCTTCCAGCATGGCAGGGATTCCACAGTCTGTGCAAGAGATCTTCCTTCCTTTTCATAATTATTTTTTATATTGCAGAATAGCTGCCATGCTGTGAGGTCAGATCCTACTTTGGTTTGTACTGATTTGCCCTTCTCCCTAAAAACACCAAAGTTAGTTTTCTGCAACAAGATCAAAAAGAATTACCCTAAGAAAATTGATCTGCTTAATAAGCATGGATGTAACACGCACTTTGATTTTCACATTGCATTCAGTAGCTGTGAAGTAATTCTGTTGTACTTGCAAATTGATTATTAAATATTTGTTTGTTTTGTGTCTAATTTCAGGCCTGTTCAGCTCCTTCAGTGTGTGCATAACCCAGACCACACAGACTGCAGGCTTTGCACCAACAGCTCAGCAATTCCGTGAAGCAGAATTCTCTGCGCTACTGAAGAATTCCCTTACTTGTGTGCAAAGCTGGAGGAGATTTGGCTACATAGCTAAGAGTGATAACAGTAGCATGGTGTGTGCTGAGTCCATAACCAGAAATCCTTGCTGTGATACTAACAGCCAAATAGCAGGAGATGGTACCTGAGGTGTGCTGCTGTACACACACACACACACACACATAAACACTGTTACAGACGGGCTGCGGCTGTGGTCAGCGATTGAAGGCAGATGCTTGCCCTGGTTTGCTCCCTCCTATACAGCTTGCACAGAGCAGGGATTCCCTGGGGCATGCACAGAGAAGAAGAGACTTTCCAGGGTAGGCAGAACTCGCCTAGGTCAGTGCTCATCTTCCTTCCTGCTGAAAGGTTCAGCAGGAAATGGCCAGGGCATGCTACGTTTTCCCTGCATCCCTGTGCAACCTTCCCCAGAGGGGAATGTTGCCATTGGCACATAGTATAAATCATGGCTTTCCCAGGTATTGTGGCACTTCTGATCAGGCAAAGCAAGCAATGGAGTAGGCAGAGCAGTTCTTGCCTTTTAATGGGTATCACAGTAAGCAGCTGGTGGGAAGACAGCTGAGCTGAGCTAAGAAAAAACCAGAAACTGCTCAGAGGGTTGCCTGCACCTGTAAAAACTGCTTAGTATGCATCTGGGAGAGAAAATAGTGAGACTGACTCAGATAGCTCCATTAAAATCCTACTGGATATACCACTGCGGTCAGATTACATTTTGTTCTTTATATAGCAGTAAACAGTAGCCTTCCAACTTTCAGAAAAGGTCCCTCAGGCCACTACTTGGCCATCCACTGGAATAGAAACAAACATCAAACGGTTGCCACAATAAGGAGCCTCTCTTGACCTCAGTCTCTGCAGTGAAAGGTGATGCCTTGAGGTGTATAATTCACAAGCACAGACGTGCCAAGGTGCACTGAAGCACCAGGTTTCACTGATTTCCTTTGATTTCTATTTTACCAGTCTCAAGTGCAGTGTTTATAGCAAAACAAGTATCTGAGGCCAGCTTGTGGCCACGGCTGTAGTGCCTCTGTGCAGTGCCATTGACACGAAGAGAACAGAGCAGGCTTTGCTGCAGACATTCTCCCAGGTGCTGAGGTGACAGGGTGACCAGCAGCCGCCAAACCTTTAGGCACACTGGGCTTTCCATGATCCCACAGGGAGAAGCTTGTACTGCCACGTTTTAGTGACTACCCAGAGTGCAAAGCATCCTTATGGAACTACACAAACTGGTGTAATTTTGAGCCTCTCTAGACAAACCTAATCTATTCAATAGCAATAGAAGGCCTGCACTGAGCCTGACTGGACCAACCCAAGACCTCACCCATAATGTTTACATTAAGTGAAATGTATTTTTATGTGCAAGTTGTTATGTAACTACTTAGATGAATCAACATAGACACAAACCAATACTTTTAAATAGTATTGACTATTTCTGACTATCAGTTTGTCTTCATGCTCACTTTTGTACCTCTTCTCTTGCAATATGTTGACTGTAAAATCAAGATCTATAATAAAATTGCTGATGACAAATGTTCTTAATTCAGTTTGGCATTATACAGAACCTCAGAAAGTTAAGAAAGAAAGATTCTCAGAAGACCAAAATAGGCCACTTCCTAAAAACAGCTCAGAAATCTGTTCAAGGTATGAAACACTATATGCAACCACCCAGGAGAGCAGAGAAACAGAGCACAGCCTCCTCCCCAGCTGCGCTCTTCATCTGATACAGAGAAGTCATTGTCTTTGTGGGTGGCTGGAAGTGAAGCATCCTGAGTCTTTATCTTGAGCATAGATTGTTCTTGGCCATAATAGTTAAGAAAGATGATTGTTCTTGTCAGTGGTTATGTAGTAAGATGCAAAGAAGCCAAGTGTACTTTTGGAAGCTGAGGTGCACAATTAGTATGGGCAACTGTGCTGGAGTAAATGATGGCTTTGTAATGCAGGTGGCAAGTCTGGGCTGCTTGGATCACATACATGGCAGAACATGAGCAAGCTCATTTCCAACAAACATTTTTATTATGCATGATCACACATCTGAAATGCCGTGCAGACATGCCCTGCCAGGAAAGTATACTTGCAAATCCTATTGCTTTGCTGAAGCCTTATCAAGCAAAAAAACCCTTCCAAACCAATACAAAGTGTTCCAAATCCACAGAATATAAATAAAAGGGAAAAATGCATTTTTCCCACTCTTGGGAATATATGTTTCTTAATATGGTTTGGAAAAGATTGGGTTTTGAAAATATGCTTTTAGTCTGAAAAAGTCAACTCTCATAATTTGTTCAAGGTGAATAGGCTGGCTTGTGCCTCAGGCCCACATCAAACACTGCTAGAGTGCTGCCCAGAAACACGGGAGGAATCTGAGTTACTGTGTGATGGGGTGAGATTGATGTTATCACTCCCAGAACCACACAGAGCTGGAAAAGCCACTTCTCTGACCCTGTCACAACAGCATTGCTGCTCCCCTGGTCCTTGATGCACTTCACTTGACCAGAGCCTGCAATTATTAACTTATTAGGAAACAAATGAACTATAGAAAGATCTGTTCTCCTTTGCAACCGGCACTTGGCCTTACGTTTGATTTCACGTAATATAGAATTGTTTTGGTTTGGAGGGGCCCTAAAGTTCACACAGTTCCACCCCCCTGCCATGGGCAGGAACACCTTCCACTAGACCAGCTTGCTCAAAGCCCCATTCAGCCTGGCCTGAGCACTGCAATATGGGGGGAAAAAGTTTTGATAGGGGTTTTGATGTGTTTATATGTGTATTGGCAGCATGTTGTGCAGTGGGTCTGGGTCCCCCTGGGCTCTGGCAACAGGGCAGTGTTTTTGGATGGAACCTGATGCAGTGGCAGCACTGCAGTGTCCATCAGTATGAGGCTGAAATTTCCCTTTACTTTTTTTGGGCTACCCTTCATGCAGGTACCTGGGCAGACTCCCTGATACTCAAAACAGTGACCCTCAGACGTCATCTTGCATAAAAGTGCTCAGTAGAAAGAATAGAAAAATGAGATCAGCAAGTGTTCAGGTAGGAAACCCTGCAAACAGGCTGAATTTCAGAAACTTTCTCTTAACAGCAACATCATTTACAGGCTTAAAATGACACTTAAATGGACTAAGTGATCCTTCCTATTAAATAACTGATACTTCCTATTAAATAACTTGAAAGGAGCAATAGCAGATCCAAAGAAAATTTTTTGCGTGTAAAATATGGAGGCTGGTGAAAAAATTAAAAACAAGTAGTATGTCTGAGTAATTATCTCTCTGCTTTGCCAGCAGAAATTTCATTAAATTCCTGATGAACCAAGAAAGGCAAACAGTCTGGAATAATACATTTTTCCTTGCTTAGAAAAAAAAAATCTTATATGTAATGAAAAAAAAGTTGTCTAGTTTGAAGACCATGTTTATTTTGAGCACTGCACTGTGGAGCAGGAGGAGGCAGCTGCCTGCTTGCTGTTCCTCCCCTCCTGTGTGGCAGTGATTGCCCAAATCAGAATCCCAGGAAGCACATGGAGCAGCATGTGCTCCACACCGGCACATTTCACAGCAACACAGCTGCTTTACCCCCAGGTCACTTAATTACTGGGATCTGGGTGTGCATGGAGGGAGAATAGAGCAGGGAGGGTTAAAATCCATGCTAAATATTTTAGACAGGCTTTCTGTCACTTAAGGTCAGTCACCTGATTGTACAGACTTCCTCTACAAACAAAAGGACAAGGCAGGCACCTCCTGAAAGCATTTATCCTGCTCTGCAGCACTGAGGGCAGCACAGAAGGGATGATGTGCACTCCAACTCAACACCCTTATCTCTCTCCACTCCCTATGAAAGTTTCCTCGATTATCAGCTCAAATTCATAAAATTAGCTTCCGGGTGGTTAAAGTTGCATAAGATTTGCCTCAAATATATTTCCCTGTGAGAAATGTTATGAAGCAGGAAAGGACACCTAAGGATCCCCTCAAATGCAGCAGATAAAAGGCTTTTGCAAAATGTTTAAAAATTATAATTTCACAATCCATTTTCTGAGTATCTAAAGCCACAGTCCTAAAATTTGCTGATGATTTCAGGAACTGACTGTGTGATAATGAGGTCATTTGAGCATATCATATGCAGTGAATTAGAAAATCTACATTCTGCTAGAGAAAAATAAATTGTTATTAATCTGCTCACCCTAGGTCATGTCTTGTTCTCTGCTGACTGCCTGAATTTCCAAGACTGAGATCACATTTGCTTGCTTTAGGCTTTTCTTTTTCTGCATGTGCCATACTTGCTTAGATTTTTGGCCTTTTTTTCTCATTTTAATTACAGGAGCACAGCCAAAATTGCCTGATGGAACCGCCATGGAAAAAATCTCACAATTTCTTTCCTATGGCCTAGTAAAAATGCAACTGATGTAATTTATATTTACACCTTAAATATCTTAAAGGGTAGCTTAAAAATGGGGGGTGGGGGGTGTTTCTTGATGAATCTATAAATTAGTCAATAAAAGAGAGTGACAATAATGGTTTGCAGAGGACTGGGGAAACTCTGGGGGAAAACATTTTCCCATTCCTACTCTTCTAGGAATAATAATCCAATCAATAGCTCTCCATTGTAATTAGACCTGGGACCTCTGCAGCTGAATTCTGAACCCTCAGGGAATGGACAAAAGGCCTCTTGTGTGAAGACATCAGCAAAGTTACATCAGCAAAGTGATTTCTGTGGGTCAGACCCAGAGGGGTGTGAAACTCACTGCACAATCATTTGGAGCCCCTCTGGGATGGGTGTTAGGCTTCCTGATGATGAGACCCTACACAGAGCACAACTTTGGGCTGTAATAGGTACATCCAGCCTTAGGTGACCAGAAGGAGCCAGCTTTCCTTCCCTACAGCAAGCTTTCAACAACATCAGTTTGTGGTTACGTGCTTGGGTTACAGTCGGGAAACATTAAGACTAAGAAGTGGTCTAGACAGAGGTAAATTATAGAAATAAACACAACTGCAATTCAGATTACTCATTCCCTGTGCTAAAAATGCTACTAAAAATAGGAAGCAGAAAGACAGTTACAGTCTCCACATTTTTTTATGTTCCAAATTTTCTTGAGTAATGTCAGACACTGCTGATAGGTGATATGTTGGGCTGCTTCATGTGAAGAAGTAAAATAATAATACATGTCTTGATAAGTTTAAGCAGGTCCTGGTATGTTTAAATATTTTTTCATTAATCAACTACATTTTTGTTTGAGCTGTGGCTGCACTGAATGTACTGTGTAGGCAGGGATTAATTTCTATGGCTTCTAGGGACTTATTATGGGACATTGGGCAAACAATTTAATCTTCAAATTTGAGATTTCCTTCCTGAATGGGTGGCATGATAAGCTGATATTTTACAACTTTAAGATTGTAAGGGTTATCATAATGTCTGAACTGTTCTTATGAATGTTACAGTGTTTTAGTTTCATCCTGTGTCATGCCTCTGTTTCATCCTCGAGTTGTGCTCTGGGTAGCACAGCTCGTGCGGAGCAGCCCTGGTCTCGTGCTCTCTGACAGCATGAGCTAGTGAAGCACTTTGCATCACAGGCTGGTCCACCATCACTGAAATGAATTTATCGTTTGCCTATACAGGCCTGGCTGGACACAGCTCTGAGCTCTGGCCTAGTGAAAGGTGTCCCTGTCCGTGGCATGGCAGCTGGAATTAGATGATCATTAAGTCACTTCCAATTCAGGCCATTCCATGATTCATTCTGTGATTATACTCAGGTGTTAACAACTTCCTCTTGTATCCTGTGTTAAAGATAATGTCTTCTGTGGGGAAGGGCAGCTTTTCCTCCTGACAGGAATTCTTAAAAATCCAGGCACTTCTGCTCTTTTCCTGGTGAATTAGAGAAATCAGCCTTTGTAAACATTTCAGGATGATACATTTGCTAGAATCTGTATCTTTTTTTTCTCCCTCTCCCATTCTTTATTATTCTTTTAATGCAAAGATTTATCTTCTATTCCCTGTGGCCTGTTGACTGACACAGCTTGGCTGAAATGCACTCCCTACTTTTACTGTGTTTATCAGTAATGAGTTGTAATAAAATGATTACCAAAAGCATTCACAAGTTTGCTGGGGCAAAGTTGAGAGGCCATGTAAAACCAACCCAGTTTACATGGTTCTCTACCATGTAAACCCAACCCAGTTGCTATAATAAACAGCAGAAGTGGGTGGACATTGAAGTTAAAATACTTGGCTGCACGGATGTTTCAAGGAACCTCTCTTTCAAATATGTCTTTCAACTGATCTATTTCACACATTATTTTTCATAATGTAACATCATGGCATCAATTAATACATTATGGGAGGCAAGATTTTTTTCAAATTTACACCAGAATACTCTCTTATCATTTGACCATGGCTAATTGATTACAAAATAACCTTTCCCTTTAATTATTAGCCCAAACATTCTAGTTTAACAGAACTATAACAAGTTGATATTTTTTCCAATCCAGACCTTTTGTCATTCTATCCTCCTGAGAAAAAGAATTCTATACAGAAATATACCTTCAAGAACAAATTATATGTATCAAGCTTTACTAATTAGCCTTCCTTAAAGCCTAAAAGATTTCACCAGCATCAACATTTCTCTGTCTCAATTTACCAGGAGAAAAACAGTAATTCTGGGAAATTTAGGACCTCTTTACCTATGTCTGAGGTATTTCCTGGTTTGAATACTAAGTTGAAGAACAGAAAATCGTGGAAACATAGCTGTAGACCTGATGATGCTCTACAGTCACCTCTAACTTCCCAACCCTGCCTTGTGTTCTTCAAGTGTCCCGCAAGTGTTCCATTTGGCCATAACTCTACACATTTTTCCTGTTTATGCCATTTTTACTCAGTTCTCCAGTAAAACAGAGATGTCCATGAGTAAGTTAAATGGAAGGCACAGGACATGGACTGTGAGATATGACTGAACTTTGAAGCCAAAAAGAGATGATCTACGTTTCAAAGAAAAGGAGGAAAATCACTTAATATTTGATGTCTTTTTGGTTTGGACTGTTTCTGTTCACAGTCTCCCAATATTGTCTCAAAGGAGCAGAAATAATTTCTTGGGAGATGACTGATTTTGATCTTGGGATGTGCAGCATGACAAATCATGCCAGTTTAAAGGTAATTGCTTTTTAATTACAATGTCAAAAATTATACAGTCCCACAGCAGAAACATACCAGTGTGCCTCTAAAATTGCCTTTCACTCTTTTCACTGACATAATCTTCAGTTAGTTCAGGAAAGGTTACTGTGGTCACAACTTGACAGGCTAAGCTTGATGTAGTAAATTAAAAATGAATAGGAAATTGTTCATATATCCCTGCCTGTGTGATTTCCAGCAGCAGGTGAGCTGTAGTGAATGTTAAATCCTGGGCTGTCCCGTGAGCTCACAGGCACCTGCAGGTCAATGAACCCACAGCACAGTCTGTTGCAAAATATCCCTACCCAGAGATAAGAATGTTGTGGTTACCTGAATTCAGTTAAAACCCAGGGATATTCCAGTTAATCATTACTGAGCCAGAACCCAGCCTTTTGTGCAGCTTTGTCCCCAGTTCCGAGTCCAACCAGGAACCAGCCCAGCCCCACGCACGTGGATGGAGCAGTCCTTCAATGTCCTGGCTGTGCCCCAGCAGCCCAGTCCATGGCCTGCCAGGATTCCTGATGAACACCTCTGCAAAGAGCAGTGCTGACAGAGGGAGACCACCCAGGGAAGGAGAACATCAGCCATTCCCTGGGCCTGCTCAAGCAGCTCAAACCTGAGGAGAGGAAACAAGAACCACTGCAGGGAAAAAGGCTCCCAGTGGCCGGATAGGAGCCCTGCCACTAGAGACCCAGCAATTCCCAGAAAAAAAGAGATGTAGGACAAGCGAAGAAATATGATGCATCATTGGCAGTGGTGAATTTTCATTCCCTGTGTGATTGCCAGGATTTTTGATTGCCCAGAAAAGGCAGCACTTGGTAAAAATGTTGTAATCTCTGAGAGGTTTCACCATACACTCTGCAACTGAAAGTGCAGCCAGAGGAGAAGGGGGCTAGCCAGCTTCCCTGACCACTTTCACACTTAGCAGCCAGCAAAGCCTTCCAAACACCCACTTCTTTTTTTTTTAAACATTGCTTGAATGAAATAATACATATTTATTGGTAATTTACACACATTACTAATATTACTAATAATGATGATGGACTAGCATAATAAAGAGTTTTTAATTTTGTAATTATGTAATTCCCTGTCATGGACATAGTGTCTTGACACAGATCTCAACAAAACCACCGCTTTTGTTACCTACTGAAACAGAACAAACTGTTCCCTGTAGAAATATTGTTGCATGGGATGTTCCTGACTATAAAATTTGCAAGACAGCCTCAGGTAAAGGCTCTTTTCCTGGCTATAGAATTAAGCAAACAAGAGCTGATTAATGTTGGATTTTGACATTTTAAATTTTCTGCAATCAGCAGGTTCTGTGGCAAGCATGCTGCTTGCAATCCAGAGGGTTATTTGGGGTAAGTCTTTCAATGAAATAACACAGCAGTAACAGAAACTCAATCTGTGACTTATAGGCCTTGGACAATGGCACACATCAAAGGCACATGTCTAAACTGCAAGAAGCACAGATAAGATTAGCATTGGTGTCACACACTCTTAGAGCTGCTGCAATTTGTCTCTGCTCTCTCTGTTTTCTCTAAGAAAAGTAACATACTTCACTGTGGTTGCAGGCAGCATGTCAAGTGACACAAGTCTGTCCAAAATATATTCATATACTTTGCATTGCAGTTTCCCTCAGCTATGTTTAAGTTACGAGGTGTCCAGGATCCTGGGTGAATGCTGTAGGTGAATCCAGGACTATATTTCTTGATGGAAAAGTAGGTGAAGTTCAGGCAAGGCCATGCACATTGGTCTTATGGTTTATTTCCCCAAAGGAAAATCATGCTGCAAGATGTTTCTCTTGCCCCCTATCTTTATCATTTTTATTGTAACAGGTTTCTCCTGTTATTAGCAAATAGGGTATTCAACATCCTCAGATAGGGTGAGAGTGCCTGTGCAGGGCTGCTTGTGAGCTGAGCCCATGCAAACAGTCCATTGCCATCTGCAACACTGCTCAGCATAACCATTGCTGTTGCTCTGCTGCTGCTCATTACTTCCCATCTTATTCCTCTCCCAGGTCTTGCTCCTGCTGACCCAAAGCACCAACACCTTGCCCCATTAGGCTACTCTGTACTGCTGCTTTAACTAAGCACAGCAAATATTTGGTTACACGCAGTCAAACACGTCCCTCATGTCCTGAGATCTTTCTTCATTAACAGATGATAGAGAATGAAAGAGCAGTGAATAACTGTGGGCTTTTGACTAACCTGAACACTTAGGTGTGCCTGTTTGAATATTTCATTACACATTTGATCCACCTCTTCATATGAATGGCCATTAAACGAAATGTCTAGCACCAGGTACCACTACTCGATTCTGTTGTTATATTACTGCTGTTCTTTGATTTTTCCAAAAACTTGGGTAAAAGCCAATATTTTATATGTACAGCTTTGTGATAACTGTGGTGTACTCCAACATCATTTTACATGAATTCTTGACTCCTGTGCAGTGGAAGCACAAGCAAAGTTCAGCTGTGAGGTGTATGAAAGGGATCAACTTCCGTCTCTGGTACCTCCTTTGGAATGTGGGTATTTGCCTCCAAGGCAGGATGAATACTGCAGAGCTGTCAGTGTAGTCTAGAAATCCAAAGAAACAGTGAGGCCAAGAAAGTTATTTCTTGCAAGATACAGATTTCAGTAATTTAAATGTGAATGTAGAAGTTATGAAACTTTTTAAATTGTCTAGAAAATTGTAGGTTTTGCATGAGCATTTTAAAAGACAGCACACAGTGGTGACTAGGATCATTGGCTTATTTCATTTGTTGCATCCATTGGTCATGGATTTTGAGATGCTGACCACAAAAGAGGCACATGAATTTCCCAGTGGGTGAAAAAGGGTATTTTCAAACTCTATTTCCAAACTGAACTTTACCTACCAGTAATGGTATCTTCATCAGACAGACTTCACTTCCTATTAGCCTCACAGTGAGACATCCCAGTAAAGCATACTGGATTCTGGAAAGAGCAAAGAAAGCATTGCTCATATGCCCTACTTGTTGCCAGACAGATGCATATCCAGTGTGCAATAAATCACCTGGGTACAAAAGGAGCATTGTGAATTGTTTTTCTACAGTGATTTTCAAAAGAGATTTCTTTTTATAACTCCAGTCTGGAGCCCCTGGAGCTCCTGAATGGTCTGCCCTGCCATGCACTGCCCAGATTGTGCCTGTTATTTGTTGTTTTCTGTGCACCAGCAGTATGTCTGTTTGGTGATTTAGTACCATATGACTAAACAGCCTCCATCAGAGCTCTGAAGCACAATGCAGCTCCCTCCAACCCGTCATCTGATGGATCAAACCCAGAGTCTCCCAGATTCCATGAAAATACCTTTTCTTATGGAATTAAGGGTTCAGAGGTCCAGTTTTAGGGCAGGTTGATTGACTTCTGAGAACCAGAGATATTTGGAAACACCACCACTCCCAATAAAGGAGAGAAAATAGGACCATGAAATTGCCTAGTCTCAAAGATGTTTCTTACAAACATCAGATATGTTGTAGTCTCTTGCATACCTGCGATTGGTGGATGAAATCTGAGGTGACTATGATGAGCAGTAACTTGTCATAGTTGATTGCAATAACAAGAACATTTAAACTAGTGAGAACATGCCTAAAAAAAGCAAACATTTCAAGTATTGCTGCAAAAAATGAAGTTTGTTTCCTCCTGTATTTAAATTAGGAGGAATGCTGTGACAGCAGCCACTGGATTAAACCACTGCTCACTACCAATGATCAGTTGAACTTTGGGCTGCAGGAGAGTAACACCCTTAAGAATTGTCTGTGGCCACAACTCTCTTCACAGAGAGCAGCAGGCAGAACTTCCCCAGGATTTTTCCTGGGGAAAGCAGTGAGAAAGCTCAGAGAAGAAAAAAAAACAATTCTTTTCTTCACTTACTGCATCTGTTGTTTGGCACACGTAGAATGTGTTATGAAAATTGTTTACCAAAAGGTAGTTTCTTAATTAGACACTGGCGATAGGTATTTTAGATTGATTGACCAATCAAGTCAAAACTGTGTCATGACTGTCTGAAAAGGTCACAGGTTTTTCTTTAGTTTTAATATTAGTATAGTGTAGTGTAGCATGTAGTATAATATAGTATAGCTAAATAGAACTTTTGTTCAGCCTTCTGAAATCACAGAGTCAAAGCCCTTTATTCCCAGCTGGGGCTCACCCTGCATCAATAACATCCCATCATCAGGAAAAATCATGAGTCCCCAGGCTAAGAGTGGGAATAACACTCCATGATAACTGGGTGTCCCTGCCACAAAACCAGCCAGAATGAACACATTTGGATCCTTCTAGGCAGACAATGGTTCCCCATCCATCAGGTCAGGCACATCACCTCTAGGTGCCAGTGGGGTCATACGGACAGGAGTGTGTGCTGGACTCCTGCAGCAGCTGTCTCTTGTATTCATGAAGAAGCCTAAAAGACATGGCCTAAAATACATGACATATGAGAGTCTGAAAAGAGAGCTGTTGAGAGAGAGACACTGATTGTGCCTCTGCTACTTTCTCCTTTGATCCTGTTTTCAATTTTTCAATTAATTCTATTTGCAAGCACCTAATTATTTGGCCTCTTCTGACTTACTCATCAATAGTAAATTACAGTATCTATTTCAAAAGATAAAATTACTCCTAATGATACCCAAAGTCACTTCTGAGCTGTGCTTATGCAAGTCCAGAGGAGCTTCATCAGCACTGAATAGACATGTCCTTGAAGACAGTGCTCTTGTAAATGGGTGAAGCTCAGCAGGAAAACACAAGGCCACTCAAGGAACACAAATGCAAAGAGAAGTCAAACTCAGCATTCAAAAGATAGGAAGGGTGACATGCAGACCAGTGCTATAAGGAAAGTAAGAGAGCTTTAATCTCCAAATACCTTTCTATGCTTCCAGAGGGTGAAGCCAACACACCATGGAAATGTCAGCTGTACTCTTGCCAGACCTGTCTGCAAGAGCAAGTATGGGGCAAATTCAGATGAGCCATGCAGGTGGGATCACAAGCCCCTGCATTAGCAATCTCTGCTTTCTGTGAACTACACTTTTATTCACCACTAAGCATCACTCTCACAGAATCTCATGTGATCATTTCTGAACATTTCTTTTGCAGGTGCATTTTTGCTCCTTTATTTTGAAAATGTCATTTTTACAAATGTCTACTAATTCTGTAATTTCTAGTAATACTGCTCACATTTGATTGCCTGGTATCTTTCTCCTCACAGTGTAAAGCACTCAGAAGTTGTGGGTCACCCTTATGAGATTAGGTTAGAAAACAATTTTTAAGGTAATAATAAATAGGAGGCCCTTTGTATTTGGAATTTGGCTTTTGAACTGCTGGTGCAGACTTCAATTAAATTTTTAAGCCTTACTCACACTGCGAGGGCACAGATATTCACATTTTCATAGGATTCTGTGGATTGTAATATAAATTAAACATCAAGAACAAGAACATTCAAGATAAAACCACTGGATAAGAAAACTATGTTTCTAATTGTTAATGTTAAATCTGCCTCTGAAAACAATGATTTTTCTGCTTTTGTTTTTAAACCATCACTTTTAATTTTTTTTTAAAAATATCTTCTCTCTAAATAACTGTTGAAAATGGCCTTAATTACTGATCCTCCTTCAGACCTGGGGGGCTTCTAAATATTCTTCCAGTCCCCTGCCTACGTGAGATCAGCCACACCAGAGCATTAACAGGCAGAGCACAAAGCAGTTAAGACAGTGAAGAAAGCTGCATCTGACTGAAATTCCCAGAAGAGCTTGGGCAGCACAGTGTAATTACCTCTCTGGACATTGGCCAGGACATCATCAGCCAAAGTCCTCACTTGCAGTCAGAGTGGCCTGGGAGCTCTAGAGACCCTGTACAAGCAGCAACCTGATCAGTAACCCAGATGGGGGGCTGTGCACCCCAACACCCCATCTGCACCAGCACGGGCAG